GCTGGAGACGAGGAGGTGGCTGGCAGGAGGATAGGCGGGCGCTGTGGCGAAGTGTTGCGGAGTTAACCTTCACAATTTCCATTTCGGACCCGTTATCACATATTCCCCATTCATTCATTTTTCTTTTATTGTTTCTTTGTTCCCAATTGGATATTCATCATTTACGGTTGCCTAACGGCCCGTTTACATTCCCCCATGCCATTCATTCCATTTCAAACATATATAAACTAGATAACAGCTTGTACATAACAAGTACTGTTGTTTTGACCGATTTATCTGTTGAATGTTAAACCGTCCTAAATCACGAGCATCCAGCTGGAACTCGAACGTCGGCTCTGAGCGGGTTTTCCCATTCACACCATTCAGTTTGGTTGAGAAAAAAAAAAGGGAGAACAAATATTGACGTTGGCAGCTGGGGGTGGCACGTGCCATTCGTCGATGTCACTGTTACTGACGGTGGCCAGGTGTCATATCCGTGCATACCCGACCCCGACCCGACTTCCGGACCACCACCCTCTTCACCTCCGGAGTCATAACCTACCGCTGCCGTTCCGATACTCACCTTCGGTCTTGGCAACACACCCCTCCTCTTACCTCTCCGACCCCTTCTCCGTCCGTTCTGATACTCATCTCGGACCGAACATCGCCCTACTCGCCACCCTTCCTACAACTCTGCTCCCCCCTCACAACACCTCCACCCTCCCGTCATCCCCTACGCTTTCTCCATCCGTTCCGATACTCACCTTCGGACCTGACTACTCTTCCTTACCTGTCCCCTCTCTCCTTCTTCCGTCACTCCTCCGCCACCCTTCCGCCAAGTTACGACCGTCCACCGCTGCTCCATACTTCACACTCGGACACCGTTCGTACCTTACTCCGAGCCTCCGTCATAGTCCATACCTCGGACTTTGACCCCACCTCGGTCTTAGTCCATTGCATTGGTGACCTCATACTACGTAAACACCATTGCCAATATTCCTCGGACTTCCAACCCCGCCTCCGGCACTCTCGCCGTTTGTAATGTATTTCTCGCAATTCCCCCTCATCCCTATTTGGACTACTGCTTCTTTCTATTCTAGCCAGTTAGTCATCACCCCCACTTCCCCTCATCCTCCTGCCCTTCTGGGCCTCGCCCACTCTACCTCCTTTCAGACGTATCACAGGTCTTGCCCTATGACCTTCGGTACCGCTCCGCTCCCTCTACCCTTTGTTCCCATTCGGACGTCTTCGTTCCGATTCGGTCACCCTTTGTTCTCCTTGTGCTTTTGCCCCTTCTTTATATATATCGGCACTTGTACATACTCGTCTGGTTTTCAGTCCGAAATCGACCTGAAATGCCCCCTAGAGACTTCCTGCTCACCTACTGTGAAATTAAGGACCAAATGAATGGCACAGCGCTCCGCTTGAGTCGCTGAGGCCAAGGTCCCTCCACGCTAAGTCTCCGATTCCACTCCGGAGTCGTCCGTTTCCGCCCGTTCTAACACCAGGCATGCATTGTGCAGCACATCGGTAAGTGCGCACTGTCTCATGGATGATGGAGGGACACTGACCAGCAATCGGCACTTAACTGCATGCATGCCAGGCTGGGCTAGCTGCGACTGCTAGGCTGGGCTGGGAAGCGCCATGAGAGCGTCGTTCTCATGAACCATCGCAGCCAATCTCTCTCGCCGCTCGGTCCGTTCGGTCTACTTGGAGAGAAGGAAGGCAGGGGGCAGGAAATTAAGATTGCCAGGAGAGAGAGAAAAAAAGTGGTCTGCCTTGAGGGCAGATTTGCGCTTCGTGGACGATTCCCCGCATCAGGGTAGTATAGTCATGGACAATGGAAGGCACTGACAGTCGGTACCCAAACAACATGGGTGCTTCGGGAATTTGGAACACCATACCACCCTCGTTCCATTTCACGCCTCCCTTTCCCACTTTCTGGCGCTGCTGTCTGATGATGGCAGCCTTCTTTTTGCCCGTCATATCACACCTCCCAGCCCTGTCACCTTTGCTGGCACCTCTGCTGACTGGGATGTTTTTTTTTTTTCATTGTACAACACGATTTGAATTGAAAATAATAACATGAATTTTGAACCGAATATTTCGAGAAGGGAAATCACGTTGTAATTTGGCTGTCGAGAAGAAATGGAAGAAATATCAATATTACTTTGTGTCAGGAAATATGAATCATATTATTGTAATGATTATTCAGTGAACCCTTGGATATTCATCCGCGTGCTGGCTGTGGGATGCCGATTGTGGAAACTGCTCTGGCTTTCGACCCGGTGGCTTTTAGTTGGGGGATGGTAAACTGGGTTGGCAGATTCTGCCTATGTGAATGTGAGCACCAAGTGTGTCAAATTTTAGTTTGTGGACAGTGTACAAATGTGGATTCACTAGATTGGCTACACGTATTTGGGACATAAAAAATTCACCTCATTTTTTGGTGGCTTGATATTTTGCAGTACTGTACAGGGTGGTGATATCTTCATGCAAAATCGTTCGATAAGGGTTTGCTATGCCCAACATCCTCGATTTAAGGTGATAAGTATTTACAAGTATTCAATAAGTGAATTACAAGTCCCAGTTTAAGGCCGATTTAAGGAAAATTTAAGGGTACAAATCAATGGTGGATTATTTCTGAAAAAAGGAAAAGGGGGAGACAAGTAGCGGACATTGCCGCATCTGCCATCCGCCTGGCTGTTGGTCGCCGCATTGCGTGCCCATGCCCCAGCAACCATCCAGCTATGGGTCTGAGACAAACAGTGAGATATGGCACCTAGAATTAGTGTTGTTTGTTATTCTGACATTGTCACCATTTTGGTACTTTACAGCTGGGGCATGCTGTGGTCATCAGGCTGCGTGACCCAGCAATGGTGCTGCTATTGGTTCAGAAAAATGGTAAGATACTCGCTTAGGATCGTGATGTTTATTATTCTGACATCAACATGCACTTGATATTTACAGCTGAGGCTCCCAGTGCTGAGGCACACTGCTGCCATCGCGTTGCTCACCCCAGCAACCAGCTGCTGTGCGACCAGAAAAATGGTGAGATATCCACTTGTGGTGGTGAGACTTATTATTCTGACATTATGCATTTGCAGCTGATGTTAGAATGGGGCGGATTCAGACGACTCCGGAGTGGAATCGGAGACTTAGCGTGGAAGGACCTCGGCCTCAGCGACTCAGGCAGAGCACTGTGCCATTGCTGGTTGTCCTAGGGGTCCCTAATTTCAGATCTAGCAGAGGGAAAGTCTCTTGGGGGGAATTCATGTTGATTTCGGACTGAGGTTACAATTTACTATGTACATTGTATATAAGGAGGGGTCCGGAATCAAACGGAGCGAGGGTAGGACAAAAGGAGACAAAGGGAGATGGAAAGAGGAACAACACCGAGGGTCAAGGGTTTGACTCAATGGTGTTTCTCAAAGGAGGAATGAAGGGCCAAGGCCCAAGGAGGAAGGAAGGGGGTTGGGAGTGGGGAATGGCTAGCTGACTGAATAGAAAGGAAGCAGCAGCCCAAATAGGAATGAGGGAGAATAGCGGAATTGAATAGGACAATGCAATAGTTGCAAGGTCCGACATAAGTCCGGAAAGTCCGAACTCGGAAGTTAAACTCCGGAATATTGGCAAACGTAATTAAATGGAATGAGCTAACCAATACAATGGGTATAAGCGGAGGTGGGGTCAAAGTCCGAGGTCGGAGCTAAGACCGGAGGTTCCAGAGATGGAGACGCGAACAGGATTCCGGAGTGGAGGTCCGGAGTCGGGAGCATAGGTTTTGCATACTTGTCTGGAAGGTGTCAAGGTTGGGGTCGGACCCGGAATGTTCCGGAGTCGGACCGAAGGTGGTGTCAGAGCCAGAGGTGGGATGACCTCTTGGGAGTCGGCAAGGAGGAGGTGACGGAAGGGAAGTAGGACTCCGGAAGTCAGGTTCGGAGTTCCGGGAGCCCGGAGCGGAGGTCAGGATTGTATGGATATGACAGCTGAGCCACCCGGCATTGAGGCACATTGCCATCGTTGCATTGCCTACTCCGGCAACAACTCTCGAATCATTCCATCGATTCAGCTCACAACCGCCATGCCTGTAGCATCAACTCACATACCTCTTACCCTGGAGGCGATGGGGTGGGCCCAGACGTGTGACTCGGAAAACTGCGCATCCTAGCTGCGACAAAGATACGAACACGATTACCCCTCATCCTCCCAAAATCGCCTTACTGTTCGAGTGCCACCTGCCCACTCATCCTTGGAGGTTCGCACACAGACTCACTCTGCCGGCTATCCGGACAGTTCAGCATACCATTCCATCGTCGGGCCATTCCCGCAGCGACTCCCTAGCAGGTATCTCTTCAATGTCCAGTCTCGGCCGAATCATCAAGCCCAGCAGACATAATCCCTTTGGCCACGTGGCCACTGTTCTACCTCCACCTCCACTTCCTCCTTGACTCGTCATCCCCATGTGCGAGAATGTGGGCCTCAGCGACTGCCTTCTCGAGCAACGCCTCATTTTGGCTTATATTCATGGACTCAACCTCATCTAGGGATGAAATGCCGAAGCTTGCTTGATTTCGACGTGATACCGGACCCCCCCCCACCCAATTGGCTGCTCCGCCGTAAGTGCTACTGCATGTGTCCATTTTGGATATTCTGCAGATGGACGGACAGATTGTAGAGCAACATGATGACCTTCACATTCTCCCGCAAGCTCGCTCACCAGATCTCACCGATCGTTCCCTCTCGCCATTCATTTCCTATCTCATGATCACTGTAGTGCCATTTCGGTGCTAAACTGGATACATCCATTCTTCACCCTCTCCCGCCCTATCCCTCGTCGCCTCCTTGTGTCGCTCTCGACTCTATCAAGGTGACCACATGAATGGCACGAAACAATCCGTAGGAAACGAAGACTCATCCCTCAGCAACCTTGGGAACAATCATCAGCAGAATCGCTGCACCAGCAACTTCGACCCATTACAAGGCCAGAGATACGTTGCCAACTCGGTTTCGGCAGCACAATGGGACCCGCCGATGAAGCGGATGACACTGAGCAAACACAGGAGCCATTCTCGTCTTCCGAGGATGAGGCACCTGCCGACCCACATTCGGACATACCTGATGAGTTGCAAGTCATCCTCTCAAGCAGCTGTTCTACCCAATCATTGGATGATATGCTTTCTATCCCTCAGCCCCCTGAGTCGCCTTTGTCTGATCACTTGTCTCTACCAGTTACAACATCGGACTCGAACTCCTCTCCTGGTTCATTACCAGGCCCTCATTTTTCCCTAACAATTACTGCACCGTCTGGGATCAGTTATGAGCCAACATATTCAGATGAAGAAGGCGACCATATGCGTGAGGACGACACTGGCAAGAAGAGCTTCGACTTCACCAGTGAACTTAACCGTCTGAATCAAGGTGGTGTGCGACTCAGCTTCGTAGAGCAGTTGGAAGAGGCTTTCAAGACACCGCAAGTATTCCTTTCTGATTCTGGCTCTGCGTCAGAGTCGCACACAATTTCCCCTGTCTCACTGGACTGGGAGCTCCCTGTGGAACCTAAGGCCAACCTCGTGAGTCCTTGTTTAGACATGCATTTTGGTTTGGGATGGTATTGATGCATAATTTTCGATGCAGAATCGAACTGGGGAGCTGAATGGAGGCTTCCAGTTTGGCAAGCCAACAACGCCGTTAAACATCGCCGTTCCCCCAATGAAGGTATTTTCATTCAACCATGCGTCAAACATTTCATCTGTAATGCATTTTTAGGGACTTCACTCTCGCACAAACACTGAGACGAGTAACTTAAGTGCTCGCGAAATTGAGCTTCTCGAAGATTTGGATGCTTCAATGTGCGCCTTGGTGACATTAAACCTTTCCCTCATCCACCCCTTGTCCTCCCAAAATAAAGGGAGTGCTGTATCTCATTGGAATCTGATACGCAGTCCAAGCGGGAGGCTAGATTCTCAGTCACAGACTGTGCCCCATCCCATAGCGGCCACAGTCGTGGAGAATCCGTAATGAGCATTTCACCTCTTGGATCCATTATCGATTCAGGTGTATCTGATCCGTTCGGATACTGGGATGAAATAGCTGGTCCTCAAATCCCATTGCCCCCTGCTCCGTCGTTAGGTCATTCCCACAGCGACTCACTAGCAAGCATCCCTTCAATGTCCAGTCTCGGCCGAATCATCAAGCCTGCAGATGCAATCCCTTCGGCTATGCGACCACTGACAACAGTCATTCGCGAAGCATCTCTCAAGCTACCGACTTCTCTCTGAACGCAAATCCCAGGGAGCAAAAGGCGAAGGGCAGAAAATCGATTCTGAGAAATCGCAATTCTATTTTCAGAGCAGGCCTCCTCTGCTGTCGTTACTGGTGCAGTGGCAGAAGGTTTAAACACGATGAATACAAAGTCTTCATCCACTGCCGAGCCCATGTTTGTCGGAAGATGGAAGGGTAGTTTCTCTGCTCAATGATGACGCTAATAATGCTGCTGTCGTTCATTTGGGTCTGGCCCCGACGACCGCTAATGGTACTCCTTCGGCTATACCTACATCTGGTGCCCCTCATCACCATCAAGTATCCCCTCAATCACCCTTAAATCATCTTGTTCACTCAGCGATGGGCACTCCAACCACAACGTCTCCTGCGGCAGCTGCCGCAGGACATTTACCTCAATACACTGCCTCTGCGCCTGCACAATCATCCATTCAACATCAGCAACTCCCCTCCCCTGCCACCCCAACCACAAATCCAACTTCCCTTGTTCCACAACCACCACAACCACACGCTTTACCAAATGGAGGAACCGGTCATGCCACTGCAACCGAGAAGAAGCGTAATCATGTTTGCACGACGTGCTCCAAGGCATTTACCACCAGTGGACATCTTGCCCATCACACCCGCATCCACATGGGCAAAAGGAATCACAAATGCCCTTTCCCAGGTTGTGAAACAAGATGTTCAAGGCAGAATAACTTGCAGCAACAGTGAGTATGACCTTTCCACTTGTGTGTGTGCACTTGTACTGGGGCGTTTCTGACCAATGTGTTTTTCTTTATCCCACTAGATCTCAACGACCAATCTCGTGACTATGACTACTTCTCTTCCCTGACGATCCATCGACCTACATATCTGTGGCCTGGTCTTGCTTCCGTTTACCCACGCATGCCACTCTCCATCAAACCAAAAAAACTCACTCTCATCCTGACATCCCTATTCCGCGCCAAACACGTTTGTCTCCACATCAATCTGTTCATCGATCGTTCTTGTACGAAATACTTGTTCCTTTTGTCTTCCCTTTTCCCTCTTCATTTACCTTTCACCCACACCCATTTGACTATCGGTCCGGCCCCCATAACCACGTACACACCACCTGGATATTAAATGGAGTGATACCCTTTCCTCTAAAATAGTTTCCATGTTCATCTTTCTCCTCGATCCCGACAAACTTCCCACAACAAACGAGCTCAAATGGCGGTTGCTAATGCCAATGCTGCTGTGGCTGCGGCTGCGAATGCTAATGCTGTGGCAATGTCAGTCGCTAATGCCGCATTAGCAACAACTATGATGAACAATGATGCCAACTTGATGAATCGGGGCGCCAATGGGAGTGTGATTCAAGCAATGACGAAGAGGGATAGGGAGATTTATACCCCTACCCCTCCCACTAGTCCTGATGGTGCTACGGGGTTGGGTGGTTCGTATGGAACTGGAGGTGCTGGAAATGGGGGGAGTATAACACTTCATCCGGTTTCTGAAAGGGCTGGGGGTGATCCATATCCGGGACATGGAGCAACATATGGTGCAATGTCTTCTCTCATGGTGTTGGTGCCACCACTACCGCTGGTAGTGAATGCGTGTGTGATGGAGGTTCGGGTTTTTGGGTCCTGGGGCGCTAGCGGGTCTGTTAGAGCCTCAACTCAACACTCACCTACATCTCTCTTGGACGTCAAGGCCGAGGGTTATGAGGAAAGGGGTCTCAGATGTAAGCAAGTAACTCAGGGGAGGCGTTAGAGTCATGGATGGCGTCTTTGCCACTTGGATGCAACTTCTGCTTTCTCTTTCACGGGTCTATTCAATACTAACTTGTATCTCGGAATTTAAGGATCCGGATCCAAACCTGAGCCCGAAACAGATGGATGGATTCATTCGGTCCGTGCCATGGTGGGCTGGTTTGCTTCTGTTGGAATTTTTTTTTTGGGTGTTTCCCCATATGGACCCATGTAACCCGGCCCTTTCCGCCATTCATTATTTCGCATCCCCAAAATTCAAATCACCTGCCAGCTCCTGTCACGTTTCTTTGTTTGGTTCGATTTCGGCTTTCTCCCCTTCCTTGCTCTCTCCCTCCCCCCCCCACCAACCAATATTCAATCTTCATGGTCACATTGCAGTCACGTTCTCGTTGCAGAACACACGGCCACGGCCAGCTCCGCTCACCAGCTCATGCTGCCTGCACCTCGCCTCGCCTCACTGATGGAGTAAGTACTTGCGGCAGCACGAGAGTGAAGACAAGTGAGTGCGGTGCACTCTTTCTTTCCCTTTCTCCATTACCTTTTTTTTTTTTTTTCTCTTGCTGATGATCGATCTCTGCCGTTCCCCAGGGCTGGGCTGTAGCCATCCCCTCCCCGCTCCCCGGACGCGCTGTATCTCCCTCACCCACAACATCCCATCCTTGCGGCCCTGGACGAAGCTGATGGCGTTGGATTCGCTCGTGGGCTGTGTCGTCCCATTTGGAGGAGCGGTTGGGGGAACATGCAAATCGCGCACACGGCCCCTTTCTGACGCTTCGCCACCGCCATCATCGTCGATCCCATTCTGCTTGACTCGAGCCCCGCTCTCGAATGGATGGTTTTTGAGTCATATGGTGAGATGTTACTAGCCGTGCCCGGATTTTTTTTTTTGCTCATTTTCCGTGAGTGTCTTTGTCGACCTCCAGTCCAGTAGAAAGTGATGACAAAAATTCAGTGAAATTTCCCGCTGGGTTACCCTGCCCGAATGCTTTCAGATACCATTGGTCCCGCCCCCAACGGATGGTTTTTGAGCCAGGTATGCACTGTGAGATTTCCTAGCCATTCCCAGATTTTCTCACTGATTTTTCGCGAATGTCTTTGTCCACCATTGAGGAAGGAAAACCGATGATAAAAATCGACGAAAATATTCATTGGAATCCCCTACTCGAGGGCTTTCAGACGCCACCGGTCACGTCCCCAACGGATGAGTTTTGAGAGAGGTATGGGCTGTGAGATTCCCTGGCCATGCCTGAATTCTCTTGCTGATATTTTGCGGATGTCTTTGTCAGCCCCGGGAGAAAACGATACAAAAATCAGCAAAAATATCCCCTGCGTTTTCCTACTCGAGCGCTTTCGGACACTGTCGGTCCCGTCTCCAACGGATGGTTTTCAGAGGATGTATGGGCTGTGAGGTTTTCTAGCCATGCACAAATCTCTTCACTGATCTCTCGCGAATGGTATGTGTGATCTGACTGGGAAGAGCAATATAATCATTGTGAAATGACACTTAGGTACATTCAGTGGTGTAATTTTCCACTCTTACGACTCTTGATGGTGCCGTCTCTTTTCCCTTCCACTCCAATCTTTTCAAGTGCAGTACCGAAATTGTTGCTCATCTTCAGTCCATAGTGTTTCAGGAACTCCGCCTCACCCATTCTGTACAGTGGGGAAGTGTTAGTGTTAGTGGATATTTAGTCACCAAAAGGAGAAGAGAAGGAAGAGACTACAGACTTGTCATATTTCTTGCCAACACGACGGTGCTTGCCATATGTCACTCCATGTGTGCTCGAGTGCTTGTCAGTGTACCATTCCCACTTCCAGTTCTTCAGTGGCACTCGGAGCTCATTCTCATCCCCATGCAGCCATTGTTTAATGGCATCCTTAAGTGTGCGGACTGGGGGAATGGTGGTGTGCTCAGCGCCCGGAGCGGGTCGGCCATCATCATCGTGGTGCTCCTGGGGCCGACTGGAGCCTGATGGAGGGTGGGATAGGGACTGGGCAAGTGGAGAGGAAGCGATGGGGCTGGGGGGGAAGGGGGGGAGGAGCACTGGGTAAGGTTGGCTGTGGCCACATTGACTGAGTAGGTCCTTGTCACGACCGACAAATCCCGGGGCTCCGTCAGCAGTGAATCAATGCCGATAGGCGAATCCGCCGACCTGAAACCCATCCTAACCAGCCCCCAACCCCATGTCTGGCCCCCCTGCCCTACTGCGTGAGACTTGGCCAATAATCAGAACCTAGACCCTGCCGGTATTCCGACCTTACCTCCAGTTCCTGAGCCCTTGGTGCTCCCGGCATTCAGTCATGCCTGCCTTGTCTCCACCTGAACCACACTCATTGCTTCTCGCTATGTGGTCACAGCCATGCCCCGCTTCCATGCATTCCGCACCCTCTGCCCACTCCGCACCCTCTGCCCATCTCTGCACCTTCTGGCCACTTCTGGTTGCCCTTGACACCTCTGGTCAGGTCAACACTCCCACTCCCCTCTGTACCTCTATTGGCCTTCATGCTGCCTTTGTGTGACAGTGCTGGCAGATCAACCTCTGTTCGCGGACTTGTGTCGGCACCGCACCGACCCCGCTTATTTGCAGACTTGTATTGGCGCCACGCGCTGACCTCCGCTTTTCCTCTGGTCATTTGTCACTTGGCAGCTTATCATTCATTCCTTGCCGAGTGCCATCTATTGTTTGCTTCCCTGCCAATATCGGCATTTGATCCCCTCTTTATTGGCACCAGGTTATTGATCTCATTCAGTTATTCATCAATAACCCTTGCCACTTATTGTTTATTGATCTGTTCCTTGTTTCCAGTTCCTGGGCTCTTGTCCTTATTTAGTTTGACAATCCCCGCTTATCTCCGTGCTGGACCGCGCCGGACTGGCCGGCCTTTCTATATTCCCTCTTGCCTATTTATATACCTTGTAAATACTTTCGGGGACCTCAGTCTGAAATCAACTAGAGTACCCCCCCTGTCTGTTCTGAGTCTCTCCTTCTGCAAAGGGGGCTTCCCCCCCTCTGAGTCCGTGCTCGCGGAGTCCGCACTCCTCCTATAGGTCCACTCCGCCCGCAAGTCTTGTTTGAAGTCCACTGTGAGTGTCAATCCATAAATATGGGATCTCCCCCAAACGTCAAGCTCAGGGCACAGCGCTCCACCTGAGTCGCTGAGGCCACGATCCCACTCTGCTAACCTTGAACAGCACTTCCGGATGCGCCGCATATTTCCGCCCGCATATCCGTGCGCGTGCTCCAACAGACCTCTGCACACCTCCAACCTCGACTCAGACAGAAACCCAATCTGTCTTCAGTCCGTCTTCTGACAGTCTGCCTGACTCTGACAATATTCCTCACTCTGACAATATTCCAGACTCTGACAGTACTTCCGACTCTGACAATAATCCCGTCTCTGACAGTCCTCCTGGCTGAACTGTTAGGGACGTATGATCCATTACTGAGCAGACATACCAGTAACATGGTGGTGGAAGGCAACAGGGTGAGGAGGAATAAGATAGCCTATCGTGTGCCTGAGTTGATCCAGTGAGACTTGGAATGGAGCAAATCTGTCATCAATGCTTCAGAGCCCATGCCTGAAGTGGTGCATGTGTTCCTCATACCAGCCTATGCGTTCCTCAAAATGGCCTATGTATTCACCCAGGTGGCCAAACTGAGAGTGGGCTTCTTCTGCAGTTATTGCTTTGAGTTGCGACATCGCTCCATTTTGAGACTCTAAGTTGTCAATGTGAACCGGGGCAAGTGAGTTGCCATAGTTTGTTTCTGTGGTGATCAGCATATCCATAGCATATTTGAGGAGTGTAGATGGCTGGAATATTGTGAGAGCCTTGGGAATGTGGATGAGATAATGGTGTGGACTCACATTTTCTCCAGGTGCCCACCCACCCCACCACTGGCACTGATGAAGTGGCCACCTTCTGAAAACCGGTGCAAGAGCAAACCAGTGCTGAAGACCACCATGCCTGAAGCAGTGTGATGTCAGTCTGTCAGTTTCCAGTTGCGCTTGCCTTCCATAATAGGCAAGAAGATCATTAATGGTGGTGGTTGAGAGCGTTGAATTCCAGTGAATGTCATGAGAACGGTGGGAGCAGGAGGGAAAGAGGGGATAGTGAGGCTTCAAGGGTTTTCCACTGCAATATCGCAGAGAAAGAAACTGAGTCCAGTGCCTCACATGGCAATATGCATCAAGCTCCGGAGTCACATTGGGTCCGTCATGCTGGGAAAATGTGTCCATGCCATAGAGGGGATAGATATTATACCGTGTCCCTATAAACTCGGACTCAGACCAGCAATAGACTGATGGCCACTGGATTTAGTTTACCTTGGCAGCCAGACTCATCACTATGGTTCTGTTTTTGCCAGCCCTTGCGGTTAACCAGGGTGACCCACAGGTGTGGAAGGTTGTGACTGACTTCCTCGTGTCCCCAATCAAGATGCTGAATAAGGATTGAAGTGAGCTCTTCATTCCTATGTTGAAAGTTGAAATATGAATAAAGGGTTGGTACAGCAGAGATGTAGGTACCTTGTCCATAGAGTCCAGCCCAAAGATGTTAGTGTACACAACATGAGGTGGGAGTGGATGTTGTCATGTTGTTTAAGGGTGAAGGACTCGCTGGGAATACTAGGGTCAAGAGCCTTGCTAATCAGGTCTGGAGGACATTGAGCAGCAGTGACAGCCTGAATAGCCTTAATGTCGCTAATCTGGATTGCCCTTGCATGATTCTGGATAGTTCCCTCAGATGCGTGCAAATTCTTCACAGATTTGACAAGGTCAATGATCAGACTGGATTCACATGGGTTTCCCTGGCACTTTTCAGGATAAGGGTGCAGATGCCAAGTGCCCTCAAATTCTCTAGAGGGGAATCAGAAATGATCACTTCACTTCATAAATTTTATGTCGCTACTCACAGTTTCCTGGAGTGCCACTGGAATGCGGAGCGGAGTATGTCTACAGTTGAGACAGACTTGTTCTGATCAGTAGTGCAGAATGTGATGTATGCAGCCAGTAGTTTGGCAGTAATTTCCACAGGTTTGTCGAAAGCAAGGAGAGCATCCTTGTGTTGAAAGAGATATGCCTCCGGATTTGGATCCTCAGGGGATGACAACAGTGGGTTACTGTACTTGAGGCAATTCTCTTCCAACCACTTCTTGGCATTGGTTATTGCTGAGCTATAGTTCCGTTGCGTGGAAGTGGACTGGAGGTGTGTATTTATCAATTCCAGCGCAGAAGTGGGGCCTGACCCCAGCTCAGAGTGCGGAGCCAGCTTCTTCCGCACATTTGAAGTTGCATGCTTCAGCAGATGACAGCCCTTCTTAACTTTGGGCATAGTGGGTGAAAGTACTAGGATGGATGGGCAGTTATGAACGTTGTTGTGGGGACAACTCCGTGTACCGCAAAAAGTTGGATTCTGCAGAATTTGGTCACCAACACGCAGTACATATCCGCTGACACTCCTGATACTCATTCTATCACTATTCAACACTCCTTACACTCATTCCATATTTTTCCATATTTTCCCCATCATTCCCGACAACCCCAAGCAAAATTCCCATGCCCAACCATGCCGCCAATTTCACCCCCTCTCCAGACCTCCATACCCACACTCACAACCCAGCCGTCTTTCCACCCGATAGTGATGCTCTACCACCCTTCTTCACCCCCGGAGCATTTCCCAGAATGGCAATCCCATACCCGGATGGTTCAGCACGGAGTATACTCTCACGTGGTCTTGACAGCACCTGTCAATGGCCACATCTCAAGAAGTACTGCACCAAATGGGATGAATAGGGGCTCGTTGGAAAGCTGGAGACGAGGAGGTTGCTGACGGGAGGATAGGCGGGCGCTGTGGCCAACTGTTGCGGAGTTAATTTTCACAATTCCTATTTCGGACCCGTTGTCACATTTTCCCCATTCATTCATATTTCTTTTATTGTTTCTTTGTTCCCAATTGGATATTCATCATTTACGGTTGCGTAACGGCCCGTTTACATTCCCCCAGTCCATTCATTTCATTTCAAACATATAAAAACTAGATAACAGCTTGTACATAACAAGTTAGTATTGAATAGACCCGTGAAGGGACAAGCAGAAGTTGCATCCAAGTGGCAAAGACGCTATCCACGACCCTAACGCCCCCATTGAGCTAGTTGATAACGTCTAAGACCCCTCTTATCAGAATCCTCAGCCTTGACGTCCAAGAGAGACGTAGGTGAGTGTTTGTTTGAGGTTTTTGCAGACTCGGTAGCACCCACGGACCAATACCTGGCCCAACGAACCACACCCGCACACACTACCACCCTCCCCCTTCTCTCTGTCTCGAGTCTAGGCAATAGACCCGTTACAACGTGTCACATCAAAGCACAGGCTGATAGTGAGGGACACAGCACCCAGGGATTGCATCCCTTAATCCTTTCATACCATTGGGGCAGCTGGAGTCCAACGAGGATTTCACTATCCATCAAAGATGCATCAATTGCCTGAAGCAGGTTGACATTGACAGGTTGGCGATAGGGTGGGCATCCTTGAACGAGTCGCACACACCACACACAGTTATGTTACTATCTACATGAAGACTATGGAATGGAATGGCCTGACAATGGAGCAGGGGGAAATGGGATGTGAGGACCAGATATTTCATCCTTGTATCCGAATGGATCAGATACACCTGAGTCAATAATGAATCCAAGAGATGACATGCTCGTTACAGATTCTCCACGACTGGGGCACAGTCCGTCACCAAGAATCTAGCCTCCCACTTGGACTCCATGAAGTTGCAGGAGAATTGCGACCCCAACCACCTATTCTGGCCATGGAGCGAACTGAGTGCATCGGTTGCACAGCAAGAGATCCACCATGGTTTTGCTCGGGTCCCTTAAGAAGGAATTGTGCAGTCCCAGTGGGGGACAAAGCTGGTGAGCAGAGCTGCCGTGGCTGTGCGTGTGATTTGCATGTTCCCCCAACCACTCTTCCAAATGGGATGGGATGGCGTTTGAAAGCCCACAAGCGAATCCAATGCCATCAGCTTCATCTGAAATGGTGAGGATGGGATGTTATGGGCGAGGGAGATACAGCATGTCTGGGATGGCTACAGTCCTGGGGAATGGCAGAGATCAATTGTCAGCAAGAGAAAAGACAAAAAAGAAAGAGATGGAGAAAGAGCACGCCACACTCACTGTACTCTCATGCAGCACCACCAGGCTGGGCTGCCGCAAGTACTCCGTCAGCGAAGCAAGACGAGGTGCAGGTGGCATGAGCTGAGTCAGGGGAAAGATATGGGGTGGTTGGACTGAGTATGTACACAGATGAGATTGAAGCCGGTTGAGACGACCCTTGCAAGATGCTCGATGTCTGTGTACCAGCGACAGTGGCTAATATGGGGGGTTAACGAGAGGGTGGATTAACATGTGAGTGCCCAAATAGCACTTACTGCCTCGGCCTTGCTTCTCTTTGTCTTTGCTGTCCTTTCCTAAGCCTATAGTCCACTTCTTTTTCTCGCGCTCCTTTTCGGAATCAATGCTGGTGCGGGGTTTTGTCTCCCTATCATTCTTTTGCAGTGCCTTTGTGCCATTCGTGCAGTCACCTTGATAGAGTCGAGAGCGACACAAGGAGGTGACGAGGGATAGGGCAGGAGAGGGTGAAGAATGGATGTGTCCAGTTTAGCACCAAAATAGGGAATGGGTGGTGAGAGGGAAGGATTGGTGAGATCTGGCGAGCGAGCTTGCAGGAGAATGTGAGGGTCGTCATGTTGCTCTACAGTCCATCCGTCTGCCTGCGGAATATCCAAAACGGACACATACAGTAGCGCTTACGATGTTGGAGGGGTCCGGCATCACATCGAAACCGAGTTCATCATTAGATGGGGTTGAGTCCATGAATACATGAGATGTCGCTCGAAGGCAGTTGCTGAGGCACACCATTCGCACATGGGGATGATGAGTCGAGGAGGAAGTGGAGGTGGAGGTGGAACAGTGGCTGTGTAACCAAAGGGATTACATCTGCTGGGCTTGATGATCTGGCCGAGACTGGACATTGAAGGGATACTTGCTAGTGAGCCGCTGTGGGAATGGCCCGACAATGGAATGGTGTATGCCAAACTGTCTGGATAGCCGGCAGAGTGAGTCTGGGTGCGAACCTCCGTGGGCGACTCTGATGCAGAGCCAGGGGGGAGTGTCTGGAGCGATGGTCATCAATACAATGGAACCATGGTTCGGAAAGAGAAGCAAAGCCAGTGCATCGAAGAAGAGGGAAAATCGTAGAAAATGAAGTGACTTACGTGAGATCCAGAATTAATGTTACAGCCGATTCCAAAAAAATCGGCCATTTTGATTTCATTGAAAGAGATCTAGGAGGGTTCTTCCTTCCTAAAAAAGTTGGTCGGATCACGCCCCACGAAAGGGGTTTCCTTACTTGGATGGATCTGCTTAGCGCCGGGGTCTTTGGTCTCACTGCATCCCCACTCTCGTGCGCGACACTATGGCAAGCTCGGGTTTCCGGACTCGCTCACATTATCCTCAAATTCAAGCCCTCCACACACATGCGGGCGCTGCATCTTCCAGTAATGCATATCGATTCAGACTCAGACGAAGGGTTTGATGAAGGATTGCGCGAAGTCAGTCAGGAAGAAAAGCCTGATGATGAGCTTGATTGGGACTTGTTTTGAGGACTTCTCACATGTATATACAAGTCATTCCATGCTCTGAGCATAGCTTAGCCCTCATGTGCGATGAACAAAAAATCTGGTGACATTGATACACAAAATTCGGACTTGTTTTTGAGGGCATGAAGACTAGAATGTCTAGCGCACTCAAGATGTTTCCCCATGCTGATTAGAGGGGGAGAAACGGACGCAAGTGTATGCAAACACAATGTTTTTTAGAGGGAGTTCCACGGTACCATTGGGTTTGCCGCCTTGCGCTCAAAAGTTGCCGTTTCTGGCAGAGAATGAGTGCCCCTAGATCTCTTTCGATGAAATCAAAATGGCCGATTTTTTTGGAATCGGCTGTAACAGCAGAGTGATATGGCGAATCATGTGTGCTCGAATGATGAGAAGCATAAGAATTAGAACAATGTATTCCAGGGTGTGCGCTGCCGGTAGTTCCACTGGTCCCATTCACACCGTTCCCACCGGCACCAGTTCCAGAATGACTCAAAGGAGAAGGGTAGCTCGAGGAAGGGTTACCAGCTTCTCTATGGCCCTCACTTCCGCTTGAATGGGGATGTGAATGCGAATGTGGTTGGGGAGGTTGAGGGTAAGCAGACGTAATCCCTTTGGTTACGCAGCATCTGTTGGTGAAAACAATACCACAGGCCCCTCCATAGATGCCATACCCATTCATTCCCTTCCCATTGCTCATAGGGACACCATATCCGCCTACGGCAACTCCAACACCGACACCACCCTCCCCCCTTTCCCTGTCTCGAGTCTAGGCGATAGACCCGTTACAAATCTGGTGGTCCTTACAGGGGGGATAATCCACTTGGTCAGGTTTTCAATCACGCAAGTTTGCACAGTTCATTCATTTGGAAATTCATCATTTTGCCGTGGATATCGAGTATCTACATTGGTTACAGACGCAGGTCAAGAAAGTACAAGTATTAGGGATCACACTAGACCACCCAAGCTACACACGCACGCACACACGTTGTTCCTCCTGGCGGACCTCAAGACAAGGCACAGGAGATCATATTTGATTGCTCAAGTTTAGTTCACTCCTGGTGGATCTCAAGAAGAGGCACAGGAGCCCGTGTTAGGGATCTACGCGTTACGGATCCACACGGTTACGCAAGTTTACACAAGTTATCTCAATCATTGCCTCCTGGCGGACCTCAAGACGAGGCACAGGAGTTCATTTTTCACCACTCAAGTCGTCCTGTGCTGTTTCACCTAAAAATTGTACCAAATTGCCTTCATCTTACCAGGCAATACACTCGTTTTATCCACATTCCTTCAATTGCCGGACATCAATAGACAGACGTCCAGAAGTCGTTCCAAGTTTTGCGTGTTTTGTTAACCGATTTCGAGATGGCTGCAAGTCCTGCCATCACAGTGCCCATGTTTTATATCGAAGCCCCATTGATGCCAGGTAACCGAAGCCCAGAAGCACCCCGGTTCAAGGGCAAAATGATTACCAAGTTTTTACGCGAGTTCGAGTTGTTGGCCGACATTGCTTCCCTTACAGATGCAGGCAAGTGCGCCTACATGATCACCTATTGCACCGAAAAGGAAGCCGAATTTGTCCGGACCCTCCCCGGTTTCGAGACCCAGAACTGGCCCATGCTCAAGTCAGAGCTATTGTGCTACTACAGTGCCGATGAAGATGAGCCCGGATATCGAATGGAGGATCTACGAAAGTTTGTCAAGGAAGCCCGCAAGATAAAAAGGGTAGACCATCTTGCACGGTACCGGCGCGAGTTCCATGTTATTGCGAAGTGCCTACAGAAAAGGAATGCCCTTACTGTCGTTGACCGCGATGATTTGTTTTACCGTGGATTTCCGTCAAAGTTCAGACGGGAGCTCAAGTACGAACTCAGGGCACAAGGTCTTTGGTCAGACCTGACCCGACCACCGCACATGAATGATGTTGTAGCAGTTGCACAGGAGCTGCTCCAAGGCGACATATACGATGTTGATTCCAGTGTGAAGTCCGAGCGACGCCCATGTTCCAGAAAGGACAGTGATGATGATCCAGTCAATGACTTGGCGGACCATGGAAGTGACAGCGCAAGCTTGTGCCAGATGGCAGATTCCACGGATTTGGAGTTAGCGGCTGAACGACATGAAGCCCAGGACCTAGAGAGCTCAGCTCCCCATGAGGAAGCCTTGCCACTACATCCCAGTTGCGGCATCCCCGAGTCCAGGTTGTGTGGACAGTCCGAAGTCCCGGCAGTTTCCTTACTGGAGCGGGCGCCAGTTGGTGTTGAAGTTGAAGTCAGAAGCGCAGCGCTTCCAACTGAATTGAGTCATGTTTGCGCCGAGCCGATCGTTGTACCCACTGATTACGAGTCTGGATCAGGGTTCAGCACTAAGAACCTAGAAGCCAGCGATTGTGACCAACTAGGGAGCCGTGTCGAAGTACCGGAGCTAGAAGCGAAAGAGCTTAGGCCTATTGGCCTTGAACGCATCTCAGATCCACCAGTTTGCGAAGTCACCTTAGCTCCTCAGACCTCAGATTGGGCTGAGACAGCTCATACGTGCTCAGACAAAGCTAGATTGCCTCAGACAATGGAGGCAATGGCATGCGTTGACAAGAATGAGCTGAATGACTTAAGTGCGACGACTTTGAACTCACGACCTTTTGGCCCGCTCCCGATCTTGGACCTTACTCAGGATCTGGAATGGCGACAATCCGATATGACACCCAGTGACCCTACGGCAGCCAGTGAGCCTCGATATGATGGTCCAGATGCCCTTGTGACAAGGATTGAGCCTGGAGTGTTGCTCACTGCATTCAAGAATGCGACTGAATGCGATCTCACCTCAGAGTCTGAGTTGGACATTGCGGTTGTGTATGATGCAAATGAACATCCGCTTCCAGACGATTGTTGTCGTCCATCGTACAAGCCAACGGAGTGTGTTTTAGTACCTGATCATGGCCAGAGCCCCGCACATCGCAGAATAAGCGCCGAGTTAGCCAAGGTGGCTAAGAAGTACCCATTTGACCCCGGGATCGAGCCCAATGCATCCAGAATCGTCAGAGATGCACCCATCGATGTCCAACGGTTAGTTTCAAGTCACGTCGCATGTCATTCCGAGGATAGCCAAAGTTCTGAGCTGCGAAAGCTGCACGGACATTTCGAGATTGAGCAAAATCATGCACTGAGGAAAACCCGCGATGAGAGGCACATCAATTCAGTGCTGTCCAGTACAACTGCATCCCAGGCAGTCGACCCGACTGTAGCAGTCGTCGATTTTGAGCTCCCAAATGGTCTAGCGTGCACAGGGACCGGAGCGATGCAAGAACAGGAAGCTGAGCCAAACCTTGCGTTTAAGGCCGAGCCTGTCCCAGAACGAGTGATAGAGTTACCGAAAATCGAGTCGAATGGGCCAGCCAGCGTCTTAGAGTTGCCCCGCATGCGCGATATTGAGTTCAACGATTTGGGCAGAGAAGAAGTCGAAATTTCGGATGTGGAAGCATTGAGTCCCGCGCGCTATGGTGACGAGTTCCCCCATGGGTTAGCCGAGACTGTTCACAATGAAGGAAGTCCCAAGACATGCCGATTAGTTGAACAGCATGCCAGTGAAGGGCATACCACTGTTACTCTCGATCGCGATGAAAGTCTGGTGCATAGTTGTGACGAGTCTGAAGTGCCTTACTACGACACAGAGTACTTCAGGGATGTGTTCAAAATCACTGACTCAACCGAAGATTTCACTTGGGATTCTGGATATGAATCCGACGACACCGCAGTTGATGCTGATGTGCCTCAGGCTGAGCGCGCCAGACTCATTATCTTACACGAAGCCGTTCCCACCTTTGTGCCACACGAAAAACAAGTTCATGGTTTGATTGATCACTGTGCTATCATACATCGTGGTTACATTATGACAAATGCGAAATGTGCCGCCAGCAATGATCCCAGCAAGAAAGCGCTGGAGCATGCTTGTTCCTCTGATGCGATTGACGATGGATATGAACGCCCACCCGAGAAAGACCCAGACAAGGTCTCAAGCATGAATCAGAGTGCGGGGGCCCGAGCATGCGAGTCCGAATTGACTCAAGTGGTCGATTACATGTCAGTGGCCGAGTTCCAGGTTGAACCACGCCCGCTAGAAATGCTAGAGCGCTCTCCCATCGTTCAAGGAGATACTGTAGTTGTCAGAGAGACCACAGACATGGCATCCGAGTTAAGCGAGCCAGACGTCGAGTTTAAAGAGCTTAGGCCTCACGGCCTCGATCCAAGCGCGATTACAGACTATGTTGAATACATGATGGCTTTGAAGGTCGGAGACGCGAGTGTTGACCACGCATTAGAGTTTTGCTGCCAGTCAAAGGATCTTCATCCAGGAAGACCGAACATGCATATTGAGATTCCATGGGCACGAGAGCACGAGGTCAAAGAGCTGAGGCCTCCTGGCCTCAGCGACGAGCTCATTAGCGAAGTTCCAGATGAGGGAGCTGTTGAGGCCACGCGAGTTCCGGCCTTGGATCGTGAGATTGCCGTGAACGACAAGCGTCCAACTCGAACCTGGGAGTCCGGGGTCGAGTCGGGAGTCGTTTGCATGTCGAGTACGGAGTTTTGTGCCGAAGTGAGTGAAATCAGTGACGGCCCACACGAGTCAGCGATGGGAGTGAAAACAAAACATACTGTTGTTCCTAATCCTCCTATACGACCGTTGGTTCTCCAAGAGGTGACAGATGCCTCAGAAAGCAGAGATCGAGGTGATGCGAAGTTGCTGGATGTCGGATCTGGACTCGGAGACTTGGCGAGCGCGACCATACCTGTGCCTATAAATTCAGCTGGCGAGGCAATGATGCCAGATGAAGTCCAGGATAGTCAGAACAGATCGGATCGAGACATCAGCAGCCAAGTTGGCGCCCTGAAACAGGTTTTGTGGCCTGGAATGGTTGACAAAGATCGCAGGCGTGTTTTAGACAAGATGCCATCAGCGAGCCGAGAGGTCACAGATAAAGAGTCCAGGCCTCCCTATCGCTCGAGCGCATGTATGAGCCACTCCAAGCCTCGGCTGGGCTTAGAACCGAAGTGTCGGTGCCACATGCCCGAAGGGCTGAGACCTACTTCAGCAGCGCTGCTGGACAAGCTTCCCTGCGACCTAGAAGAGGCGACGACGGCGATGACGATGAGTCCAAAGGATGCTCCCATAGATCCAAGTGTCCTAGTTGACTAGTCGTGACCAGGAGACCGATGCATGATCATCTGATGTGGCAACGACCTTTAGGCAATCTGTTAGGATGATTGGAGGATATCGTGAGGGACCACGATTAAGAGCTAGGCCTGTATGTCACGGGGATTTGCCGGTGTACCATAAATGAGCCAAATCCCGCGATTCTACTACCCTCAGCAAGCACCTCACATCCATCACATGTAGCCTATATCCCCTCACACTCCTTACACACTTTCCTATTTTTCCTTATTTTTCTGATTCCATTTCCGATGTCCAGAGGCCGATGTTCCCATTTTCTTATTGTCATGTGATATTCTTTCCTATTTTGTCTATCGGACTCTTCCGTGACCCACTGTACAGTTTGGTAGAGAGTTATCAACACCACACTCTAGAGGACCAATATACCACCATTGACCTGACCCTCAGTGAGATCCTTATCCCCCTCTTTCCTGTCGTGAGTCTAGTTGGATAGACCCATTACACCGCGCACTGACCTCCGCTTTTGTCCTCTGGCCATTTTTGTCACTTGGCAACATAACATTCATTCCTTGCCGAGTGCCTGTAAATCAGCGGGAGGAAGACTAGAGCACAGTGTCTAGAGTGCGATGTCAAACGTGGTTTTTATGTTAGGCAAGATGTAAACTATGTACAATCTATAAGGTTGAGGACTTACCTAGAGCGCGATGTCAAACATGGTTGAGCATCGCACTCAGGTAATCCTCGCTCTTTTATGTCTATCTAACTATACAACAAAGCGGATAACAAAGGTGAAACTAGCACCTCCGGCGCTTTGTGCGACTAAGGGTTTGCCACACGGCAACGCTTTGCCTGCAGCTCCACCTCC